CAGCTCTGGCCCAGGCTGGGGTGGTGGGGGAGGGAAATATGGTGCCCTTCAGAGGGGACAGGTTGAGGGCCTTGGTTTCCCTGCAGTACCTGAGCCCCCTCCCTCAGAACTCCAGAACTTCTAGGGCTTCCATTTCCGAAATAAGTCAGTGTCTGTTTCGGAAGCACCACCGTGATGCTCAGTAACGAGGCGTCGCTGGATCTGGAGGAGAGCTTTCCTTTGGGGAAGGAGGTGCGAATTTCATTTCATACTGCCCAGCGGGCAGACCCCATTTCCTAAAAGGAGAATCAAGATTCCTCTTCCTAGATCTTCTAGAAGTAGCTGCAGCAGCTCAGAAAATTTGAGCATGTACAACTAGAGAATGCACCGACTCCCGCAGCGTTCAGGCAGAAGCCAAGCAAAACAGACCAGGGGCCCTTCGGCAAAGCCCTGGCACTGGGGTCTGAGGGACGGCAGCGCCTCCCGGGGCAGGTCGGCCTCAAAGGCTGCTTCGGCTCTTTTGGGGACTGACGGACGCGCAGAAGGTAGTTTTCAGGCCTCCTCTTTCTCCCCCCATCCCCTCTGGCTGCCCCCTGCTGCTCCCCCAGCCCGGCCAGTTCTCCCGCAGGCTATGCCTTTCCCTCTTCTTTCTAGTCCTTTCCCAAGGTTTCCTCTTCTTCCTACCACCCGCCCTTCCGCTGTTTCTCTCTGCTTTCTCTCTTTTCTCCCCCCTTCTCCCCTCCGACTTTCTCTCCTCTTTCCTTCCTCCGGACCCCCAGTTCCTCTTTCTCTTTTTCTCCTTCTTTCTCTTCCCCGTCGCTCTCCATCTCGCTCCCTTTCTCCGCCCTCTCCCACCTTCCTTCTCGATCTGCCTCTCCTCCCTGCACCCCATAGTTCCAGACATATTTGTATACAGGGGCCATTATTTCTAAAAAAGATTTGTTTATTCATGCATACAAGAACTGGGGTGCAGGCCAGAGGTGTGTGTGTGGGGGGGGTGAGAGGATTCACCAGAGACAGAGTGGGGAGCAGAACAGGCAGACTGACAGAAGTACACTGCTGAGGGGAGCAGCGGGGAGTCAGGAGAGGTCTGCTGCACCATGTGGGTAGCGCCCTGGCCAGCCGGGGATTGAACTCGTGCAGCAGTGGCTGCAGACAGCTTCATAGGTTGCATCTTAACCCCTTGCGCCTCCAGGGAGGCCCAAAAATTCAGAATACTTTTGAGGTTATAATGGCATAATGTACAGATCCTCTAAATTATGTGCCCACCCTGAGCAGTGTCTGCCACAGCCTTGAATCAATACAGCAACAGCCCTGCAGCAGGTAGGACTAATAAAGATGGTAAGTAGAGTCAGATGAGTGCAGTTCAGGGGTGACCACAATGGAGGACAACTCCAGGGAGTTCACATGCTCCCGATCTCCTCATTTTCACAGCCTTGTTAGGACCAGGAAAATGAATAACTATAAGAAAGTGAAAATCAAAATCAACAAAAAACTATGAACCAGAGACAGTTTTTGGGGAGTGGGGGGCGGGAGGGGAGGGATTGGGGTCAGAATGAGGGGGTTGCAAATGTATGGGAAATATAAAAAATAAAATTTATTATTTAAAAAAAATTTAAAAAAATAAAGGAGGAATTTGACAGCAAAAAATAAATAAATAAATAAATAAAATAAAATCCCTTCCATGTGAGCGTGGGCTTCACCTGAGAATTGCCTCTGAGCAATGGCAAACATGACGGAATGTGCCACTACGGTCATGTTTCCTTACGTAGAACCCCACTTTACCGATGACTTGATTTAAAGACTATCTCCTCAGCTCAGCTCGCTTTAAAGAAGTAATTGGCCATGTGGAAGGCCCATGTGCCGTGTGACGAGTGTGGACTTCCAGAAGCTGAGGCAGCTCTCAGGTGTCAAGAAATCAGGGTCTAAGTCCTCTACCCACAAAGAAACGAATTCTGCCAAAACTGCATGAAGACCCCGAGAGGATTAGTCACCGGATGACACAGCCCAGCCAGCACCATAACTGCGCTTTGTGACCCCACCGAAGCTGTGCAGGGGCCACTGTTTCTATGCACTTGCGATCTGGACCCCCCTTCCTTTGCCTTCTCCCTGTTTCACCCTCAAAAGATTTTATAACTAATAATGAAGTTTCTTTTCTCGCCTGCTCGGTCACCTCCTTCCATCTGGAGACGTCTGTCATCCCTGCTAGTGCAGAATTATTGCTCTAATGAGGCAGGGGGAGTCAATGATTTTCCCCTTGACTTCACTTTGCAAATTTTACTAGAATAAAATGTGTGCCCTCGTTGCTTTAATGAAAATGGGCAGGTTACACCTTCTGGTGCAGGGTTCAGCATTAAGCCCTGCATTTCCCCAGAGACCAGTAAGGAATCACAGTGGACCAACTATTTTTGAAAAACCTTTTTAGATCTTTGCTTCACTAATGAATGTTCCAGCCTTAACACCTGCCCATTTGAACCCCGCAAGATATTTGCCTTTCCAGAGCTGTGGTTTTCAGAAGGTGGCCCCAGGACCAACATTATCAGCATCACCTGGGAACGTCTTAGAAGTCCAAACTCTCACGCCCCACCCCCAAGGGGGTGAACCAGAAAAAGGGGTGAGGAGTCCTGCTTTAGAGAAAAGATCCCCATTTTTTAGAAAGTTGTCCTACAGCTAGAAAAACGCCTGAATCACGGCGCGAGAGGCGTTTGCTCCACCAGGGGGCGCGCTAGCCTTTCCAATGCGGTCACTCCAACGACGCAGCGTTTTTGTCTTTGAGGTCCTGTCATTCTCTGTATAAACAAGTTACGTTCAAGTGTTTAGGATATAAATTACGACCATGCCGGCTGCCTCGGAAGGAATGTAAACACAGCACTGTGGTCGGAGCAAACTCTGAAACTGACTTCATAATTTATAGCAGGCCCCTGAGTAGCTCAGCATAAAGGGGGGTGGGTGGGTGGGGGGGAGTCCTATTTAACTGCAAATATGATAATGGAGACACACAAAAAAATGTTTAAATCACTGCTTAATTTTGGAAAATATAGACAGGAAGTCGAAAGATTAGGACGATGCTTAAGACTTTTAAAAACAAGATGTTTTACTAATGAGACCGTCTCTGGGCTGAAATTCACTGGGAATACAAAAACCCTGTGTGCGATGACTGCCTGGTGATGGATGGGGTGGATGGCCTTTTAGGGAACATGGGACAAAGGTGAGTTTGAAAAGTCCAGAGCAAAAACAAAACAAGAAACCAGCTGAGCTGGAGAAGCAAGGCCAGCGTGAGGGTGGGTTGGGAGCCTTCCCTCGGTCAGCTCTCTGGTGGGTTGGCAGGGCGGCTGGGAGAGCTAAGATGGGTCCCCATGGGTGGCCCGTTTTCTCTCACTTTACCCATTCTGCCTGGTGACTTCCTGACTGGGAAAGGAAGCCAGGCAAGAAAGGAAAAAAGAATCTGAGGGCACCCACAAGGGGAACCATCCCATCTCTTGTTAAAAGAAGGAAGGAACACTGAGAGGGAGAAAGAGGATAGGCATTGGGGTGCAGGATGCACTAAAATAGGGCTGGTCAGCCTATGAGTGGGGTCCCACGGCTGCCCAAGAACAGTTTGTGGGGGCTGGTTCTTGTTACTCTCCAAGGAAGTTAAACAACAACCACTACCCCACCCCAATCTCAGCGCCAATGGCTCAGCAGGTATTTCCCACCCCCTAGGATGGGACCAGCACTCACAAAACTGTGACTTGCAAAGAGGAATTGGGTCTGCTCGCCGGGCCTAACCCTTGCTGGCCGCTCAGCCCAGGGCGGCCCTAGCCGGGAACTTTTTGCTCTGTGTTTCATTTCGTTGCGGGAGAGGGAAGACCAAAAGGCCACCCTCTCCTTGGGTACAGGAAAGAGAACAAAGAGGCCTGAAACTCGGTTTCCTCCCATCAAACTCTCGCCTCTCATTATCTCTGCCTGCTTTTCTTTTAAGTTCCTTTCACCTTCTGGTTTTTGTTTAGCCGGCAAGGGCCAGGGTAAAGGAATGAAAGAACAGAAAATGTTCCGTCTTCTCTTTCTCTCCTGAGAAGACCCACAATCAGAACCTGGCCTGGGTTCCTCAAGGCACAGACCTCACACCACGTCAATTATACCACTTAGAAGGAAAACACACACACACACACACACACACACACACACACACACACCCCCAGTGTAGAGTTGCAATGCTGGCGGAGGAACGACCTGGCATTTTGGGGAGCAAAGAGGTCCCTGCTACAGCGATTTGTTATATACATTTTATTGAAAAAAAATTTTTACATCAAAATAGGTTGGCAAACTGTAAAAGTATACATAAGTGCAAATATATCCTCCTTTTCAAATACAAGCAAAGTGTGAGTATACACTAAGATCATAAAAATATTTTTAAAATACGGTGGTAGAAAACAACCTTATTTAAAAAACGTTGTATGGTCACAATACTGAAAACCACTTTCTTAAACTAGACTTGTGGTTTCTAAATAACTTTCGTAATAATGTTCTTTGGCACCTGTATCCAAACAGCAGTGTTTGGTGAAACTGAATTTGCCTACTTAGCGAGGCTACAGGATGAGGGTCCTGGGAGTCGGGTGCTTAGCACGGCCCTGTTTGAAAAGCACACACATTTTCATAGACAAAGAAAAACACACACACACAAACAGACACACGACTTGTCTGCTTTTTTTTTTTCAGACCCTGATTATGGAAGGCAAGGAAGATCCCAGAGCTGCAAGTTTAGGTCCCTTGGGTGCTAACGCTTTGGCCATCTCTGCTAAGAGGTCGGGGTGTCCACTGGCTCCGGTCCTCACCAGGAGCCTGCGCGGATCGCCAGCATTACCTCGCCAGGGGTTGTCCTGCCAAAGGTAGACGGCTAAGTGACCAGCGCTGGCCTGCATATTCTGGAGAAGTGACAGGTGTGCTACTTACTGCTGCCGCGTGCACATGTGTGAGCCCACCAGGGTCACCTCTGCCCCCGGGGGGTGGGGGTGGGGACAGCAGGCCGGCGCCCCCCTTGTTCACATAACACAGGGCTTGATGTCCTGACACACGCTCTGGTGGTGGTGGTGGTGATAATAGGGCCCGCTGGCGGAGGGGTGGAAGGAAGAAATGCCGTTGAAGTTGAGGACGAAATCTTTCCTGTCGCACACCGGGGTGGAGTGATGCTGGTATCGAGGCAGTCCCACTGGGAGGGGAAGGGAGAAGAGAAAAAACCTTTTCAGAAACCAATTCATCCAATTCATCCAGCTGGGGGCGGCCGGGGCATGCATTGTTTTTGACTTTCGTTTGTCAGATCTTAGTTGGACTGGCAACCGGCAAGGGGGTGGGCAGTGTGTCAATGTACACTGCTCTAGAAGGGGTCCAGGAAGCCCAGTTCTAGAAGTTTGTCAAGGTTTCGAATTCTGGTCCGTAAGAGACCTCTGACACCTTGGTTTGCTGCGCACACAAAGGCACAGCACTGGCCGCCCCTAAGCCGGGTTCTGATGGGCTCCAGTTCTCCTCCTACGTCGGAGTCCCCGGGCACTCCCATAGCAGGAGGCAGGACCCCTTGACCGGGCTCTAGCTGGGGGCGCCTGGGCCAAGGACCCTGGCTTATGCCCTCACAGTCCCCGGCTCCAGCCGCCAAACTCCAGCAGCATAAAAACCCGTGTGGCTTCACCTCCAGTTTCCAGCCTCCTGCCGTCTTTCCCAACTGTCAGGTCGGCGTTGCAGGCCAAAGCTGGGAGATTCTTTGTGCCCAAAGCGGGTGGAAGAAATCAAGTGCGGTGCAGCAGGGCTGGGGAGAGGCGGGTCTAGGCCGCGAATGTCGGCGTGTTCTCTAGAAAAGCCCGACTCCAGCAAGCAGAGGATGCCCTTGGGTCAGGGCTCAGAGGCAGGCTCTTCTGCCCAGCCGAGCATCTAGCAGCTAGGGAAGCCCCCTACACAGCCCGGGGCTGGCGAGGGCCTAGAAGGCCCGACCGGTCTCCCCTGGGGCCGCTCCACGGCGAGGACCTGAGTCGGCTCGCAGGGCGCCAACCCGCTTTTGCTTTTGCTTTCCCAGCTCCTGCGACCCCGGGGCCAAATGGGCCGGGTTGTCCTGCGCGCTGGGACTCAGGGTTCTCCAGGTCCCGACCCCGTTCAGCGCGGGCTGGATCAGGCCAGGCGGTTCGCCTGCGTCTTCGGGTCACCTGGCGGTGCTGGGTATCTGAGCGGTCGGGTTTCAGGTTTTCCGTGCCCGGCGTCCAGCGCTTCCCTAGCAGAGCGACCTGGCCGGTGACTCGACCTGCATTTCCTGCCCGATGGCACCTATTGCCTCCAGCCTAGTTCTCCTAAAGCTGCACTGGCCCGCGGGCCCAGGAAAGTGTGCTGATCGCTCTGCGGTCCGGTCCCATTGCACTAAAGCACATCGCCCACCGCATCCTGCGGCCAGTTCTTCCTGCAGCCCCAACCAGCCGCTCAGGACTGACCCTGAGCGAGTCAGGCCTCCCAACTGCAGGCCATATCGGTGCTTTGATGTGACTGGAGGGATGATGGAGGGCCCAGCTCCTTCTTGAAAGGGGCTTAGGCCTTAACTAAGGGTGTGGGGAGTGGGGAGCCACAGTCCACTTGGGTTGCTGGAGGGAGGTCATGCTGGGCGTTTGTGTGTCTTAGAACAACGTCTTTGTGGGCCTCCCAGCTCCAGGCTGGACCCTGCGATTCAAAGGGCCAATAGCTGGACTGAGAACTAGGCTAGCTGGGCCGGTTCCTCTGGAGCCCCACTTCTGGGTATATTGTGAGGTATTGACCAAGGCAGAAGAAGGGAGAATATTCCAGAGGGACAGAAGCCAGAGGAGGCAGGAGGAAGGGGCTGAGTGTCCCAGTGGGGTTTTCGCCCAAGCCAGAGCCTCCTCTCTGTTCCCAGGCTGGGTTCCCTGGGAAGGCCTCGGAGGGAGGCTGGCCTGCTCTCTGGATGGTGTCCCTTCACCCCAAGACAAAAATCCTCTCTCCCCATCCATGCCTTTCTGGGACTTTGCATTTTCTGTGCTGGATTCCTGTGTGTGGGGTGGGGTGAGAGCGGCCCCACTGAAGGACCAGTGACTCTTTCCTGCATGCTTTTCTCTTTTTACTTCGGGGTACTGTTCCCGCCGCAGCAGGAAACCTCTAAGTCTGAGTTCAAGTTGAGAGGACATGGCGGCAGGAGGGGGAAGCAGGAGAGCTGGAGAGTGGGTGGTGATTGACAACCAGTCCGGTGATAAAAAAAAATAAGAGGGGAGAGTTGTCTGTATTCGTTGCTAGTTGAAATTCCCATAAAATTGAACAAGACGCCCCTCTCAGTGGGTTAAGTCAGGCTAAAATCCTCTCCGGTGTGGTCCTGCCGAGACTGTCTTTGTTTAGTTAACCTCTGAGACCCGCATTTAAAAGGCCTATTTGGGAAATTTCACCGTCCAGGGAGCCAACATCTTTTGCCCATTTCTGGGTTTCCCTTCTCCCCCGACGCCCCTGCCCCACGCAGATGCATGGTCCCATCACCCAGGTGTCACCCTGCCAACTATTCTCTAGCGGGGACAAAGGTAAGCTTTGGCACATGTGACCTGCAGGGTCATGATTTTAATCTGTGGCCCATGGGTGCCTCGGAGGGGTTAATTCACAAGAGTTTATCTCCAGTGCCCTGTAAACCCAGCTGAATACTCCAATTCCCTTCTCCATCCTCGTTTTGTCCCCTCCCACCTTTCACCACCTTTAGCAAGTCAATAAATTTTCATAATCATAATCTTCATGCAATTTACACCGGCAGCCTTACAAGTGACACCCAAGGGGCAGGCATTTCTCAGGGGGAACCACAACCTGGATCTCAGGTCCTCAGGGCCTAGACAGCCTTGGGTGTCATCAACCTGGGTCCACTGTGGGGGGAAGCAGGGGCTCCTCAATAGCCTGGTGCCCCTCCCCACTGGTAGGTTGTCTATCCCTCTCCTGAAAGACCTGGGGCCGTCTACTTTCCTAGCTGCTCCTCCCTCATTTCCCTTCCTCTCAACACTAGCCCTCCAGCACTCCTCGATGCCTCCCCCATCCCCACACCTCCCAGTATTCTCAGCATCACAACTCCCCCCCTGACATTTACCTTTGGAGGAAAGGAGAGCGAAACAAACTTAAAAAACACAGGACAAAAGGAAGCAGACACAGGTCTTTGGTCAAGGTCTTCAAGGCCACACGCCTTCTGGCTAAGCTAAGTCAGCCAGAGTCTTGCGAACTTCAGTCCGCAGGAACACCCAGACCCCCGGACTTGGCACCGTCCTCCTAGCTGTGCAAATTCCGAGACCCGGCTCTGGCACAAGGCATGTGGTTGGACCTAAAGTCGACCCTCTCCCCCTAGTGCATAAGGTGCGAGCCCCCTTGCCCCCTCCACCCTGTGCCCTCAGCCTCCCAGCAGCCGCGACCTAGAGCTAGAGACCGGAGCTGCGGAGGCCGCAGGTGTGGCGGCAGGGCGCAGCATTACCTGAAAGGTCCTCGCGGGCGTTCTGGTGCAGGTAGCTCTGCTCCAGCGAGTAGGAGGACATGCTGGAGTGCAGGCCGGCAGAGGCCGCGGGGTTGCTGCTGGGCGTCAGGGCGGGCGGCTGCTTGAGGTAAGGCGAGGCGCCGGGCGAGCTCCAATGCGCCGCAGGGCTCGTGTAGGGCGAGTGGCACTCGATGGCGCTCGCCATTGCAGGGGACGAGGGCACGGGGCTGCTGCTGCTGTCCGGGCCGTAGTCCCCGCCGCCGCCCCCGCCCCCCCCGGCCGCGCCGACACCCCCAGGCCCGGCGGGCACCGGGCAGCTGGCCATGTAGGTGGAGCCCGGGTTGGGCGACATGTGCGGGACGTGGTGGTGGTGGTGATGGTGCGGGTGCGCGTGGCCCGGGGCTCCCGCGCCCGCGTCGTAGCCCGCGGGCATCATGTCGAGGCCGCCGTAGCCGCCCTGCCCGTGGCAGCCGAGGGGCGCCGACGGGGGCGCCTGGAAGTCGAAGCCCTGGGGCAGCAGCGAGGCCCCGAAGCCCAGGCCGCTCACCACGCGGTGGTACATGGGCTTGAGCGCCTGGCACTTCCTCCTGAAGCCGCGCGGCCGGCGGCGGAACGAGCCCTCCTCGAACATGAACTCGCTGGCCGGGTCGATGGTCCAGTAGTGGCCCTTGCCGGGCCGCCCGAGGCCCTTGGGCAGCTTGATGAAGCACTCGTTGAGCGAGAGGTTGTGGCGCACCGAGTTCTTCCAGCCCTGGTAGGCGCCGCGGAAGAAGGGGAAGCGCGCCTGCAGGAACTGGTAGATCTCGCTGAGCGTCAGGCGCTTGCTGGGCGAGCTCTGGATGGCCATGACGATGAGCGCGATGTACGAGTAGGGCGGCTTCTCCGGCCGCCGCAGCCCGGAGCTCGCCTTCTTGGCGCCCGCGCTCCCCGCGCCCGCGCCCGCGCCGCCGCCCGCGCTCTTGCAGGCGGCCGAGGGGGCGCTGGCCGAGCTGGCGGAGGCGGACGAGGCGCAGGACGCGGACGACGAGGACGAGGACGAGGACGACGAGGTGGCCTCCAGGGCGGCGGCGGCCGGCGGGCTCATCAGGGCGGCCTGGAGCGCGCCGGGGGCCGGGCTGCACGCGCGGCGGAGCGGGGCCGGCGGCGGGCGCGGCGCGGGCGGCGGGGGGCCGCCCTCGGTGGTCATCTGGGCCCCGGGAGCGGGGCCGGGGGCCGGGAGCGGAGGCGCGGGAACCGGGTCGGCCCAGAAGCCGGGCGAGCGCCCTAGCCCGCCTCCCGGGCTGCAGCCGTGGCCGCTCCGAGCCAGCGCTACGGCGTCGCCTCCCTCAGCTCCGCTGGGGCTTCTGGCGGCGGCGGCCTCGGCGGCGGGCCGGAGGCAACGCCCGGCGCATCCCTCCCGCGCGTCCCGGGCCCCGGCTGGCGCGGCGGCCTCCGGGGCGGCGGAGCCTTGGGGAGCGGGGATCGCGGCCGGGACCCCGGGGACGCGCCCGACGTCTCCCCTCCTTCAGAGCGCTCCTCGCTCTGTCTCTCTGACTTCCTCCCGCCCGCGCCCTCCCCCGGCCGCCCTCCCTCCCTCCCGCGCTCCCTCCCTCCACCCCACCCCGCCCTGCCCCCTCCGCGCCCCGCGCCGCCTGGGGGAGGGCGCGCTCCGGCCCGGGCGCGCTCGCCTCCCCCCGCGCCCTGGCGGCCCGCTGCTCCCTCTCTTATCTCCTTCCCGGGCCTCCAGCACCCCCCCTCCCGGGCCCGCGAATTCCTCGGGACCGCTTTCCTGTCCCCACGCCCCCCTGCAAGCCCGGGGATCTCAGGCTAACTCGCTTTCCCTCTGGACGCCCACCGCCCCCAGCCAAACTCGACCCCCTTGGCTTGATGGAATCTGCTTTCTCTGCCCTTGAGCGCACTCCAGCCTCCCCTCCAGGACCCAGCCGCCCCCCGCGGAGCGGCCCCGGCCCCTCTCCTCCCGCCCGGCTCCTCCAGACCTCCACCCTTTCTCCCCCGCACCCCTCGCCGGGCCCGGGCCCGGGGGTGCCGCTGCTGTCGCCGCCGCCCGGAGCCTCCTTAGTCCCCTTGCCCCGGTGCCCTCACTGACACCATCTGTCAACTTCTCTTAGACACTGCAGCCCTCAGCCGCACGCCAGGGTGCCAGACGCCCGAAGGTAACGTGCCAATTCTCTCTCTTTCCGACAGGGCCGCGGGCTCCGCGACCACGTTCGCGCCGGGCGAGAACCTGGGCGCACCAGGACCCCGGGGCCAGAGCGGGGCCTTTGCGAAACTTCCAGCCCAGGGGGTTAGTAAAGGAAACTAAACCAAGTAGTGGAGACTCTGGAAACCCAGTCGCCTGGGACTCAGGCTGGCATTGCTTCTCACTTCCTTTCTGTTTCCACTTGATGTTTTGCAAAAAAAAAAAAATGCAAAAAGAAAGCCGGCCGCGGGGTGAGATCAGGGAGACCGCCCGCGGACGGCCAGTTCCGAAGGGGCGTGCGGCGGTCCTCGATGCCACGTTTGTTTACTTGCTCCGTCCCGGCGCTGCCCACCCCGAGCAGGGTGCCGTCTGGCCGCCACCTTCTGCGGGAGAGCGCGCCACCCCGCCCGGCCCATTCCGCTCTGAGCCAGAGTCAGCCTGGGAGAGAGGATGTGCCCTCGGGAGGAATCATTTCCAATGAGACCCGACAGTTAGTTATTGGATTACACGTGCAAGGAAGTGTGGGCTGACCAGGGACAGGGCTGGGGAGGGAGGCAGCGAGCGGGAGGCCTAGGAGCCGGCAGCCGCACCGGGGCGCATCGGCGGGGGCGGGCGGCCGAGGGGAGGTGCCGCGGGCCGGAGGACCGAAGGGGAGGCCGGGCTGGGCGCAACTCTGAAAAGACCGAGGTGCAGCCGCTGGCGCTGGGAGGCCTGGGGAGGTGCAGGGGGCCGGAGAAGCGGGGATCGTGCCGGCGCGGGAGAAGGGCGGGCGGCGGAGTGTTGGTAGCACCGAGGCAGCCTCGAGGGGCTGGCCCTGGCCCTGCGCGCCCCGGGGCGCAGGCGAGTGCTCGCGGCCGAGTGTGCCGCGGGCTGCAGAAGCCGAGGTGAGGGAGGGGGCTGGGAGGCAGGGGGCTGGGCTGGGGCTGGCCCCAGACAGTGACCTGAAGTTGAGTGGAAGCAGGCTTTTCCCATCAAACCCTGCCTGGATACCACACACAGAGACGAGTGTCGGTTTACTGCCCTGCGCCGGGCTCCTTTTCCCTAAGCTCCACAGTAATTAGACAAAGAAAACCTAAATTAGCTGAACAGGCGTCGACAGCTTCCTCCAGAGCACCCCTGGTACCTACATGGGAATGTGTCCGAAAATGGCTTGATTGTAGCCTAGAGTCAGCTAAGAAAACACGGCCCAAATGAACTCAGTTTACCGCTCATTTCCAACAGAAAAAAGAAACAAGTCGCTCTTTGGAGAATGAGGTGGGGGTGTTTTGATTGAGTTGGGGTAGGGGGCTCGCCTTTGATTCTGCCTCTAAGAATTTCTTTTTGAGTGACTGGTGAGGAATGATTTGGGGGGGTGGGTCTCCGTTGATTTCTTGTTTTGGGGGGACTGTTTTTGGCATTTTACGTGGAATAAACACAAATAGTGCAATCTTAAGGTAAATATCATGTGTCCATTAAATCCATGCTCTGAAGTGTCTGAAAAATAGGAAAATAAGTAGAAACTGGGACAAGGCAGACAGGATCTAAAAGGTGTGTGCGAGTGTGTGCGTGCGTGTGTGTGTGTGTGTGTGTGTGTGTGTGTGTGTGCTGGGGAGACCCTTTATGAGAAGCATAAAGAAGGCCACTGGTAGGTGGGGCTGGTGGACAGCGGACTTTAGGGGAAATTCTGCAAGTTAGTATCAGTCACTTCAAAATGGACCTTTTCTGATTTTCTGCACCTGGAGTTCTATGTATATGGGATCTCAGAGGGTTTCTACACTCAAAACAGGTCCTAAAAGATTTTAGTACACAGCGATTGAAGAATAAAAAAGCACCAACCTGAAAATCTAGGCCAGTTTAAGTGATAACTTGTGTGCCCATCCTTCCCAGCTTAGGGGTCACAGATCTTTTTGATGAAGCTTTTTGGGTGGAAGTTGTGGATACTACCTCCAGGGGAAAAAATACCCCCATTTAGCCTGGGATTTTAGGGGGGTCCACAGATACTTAAAAAACCCCTCCTCTTCAATGTTTAGTTTCCACCAATTTTTAAAGACTTCCTTCCCCATCTAAGTGACAATGGTACCCATTTCCCTACAATTCTCTAAATTTGCAAGAAATACCACTTAGAGTTTGGTGAGTGTTACAGGAGACCACGATGGATGGTTCTGGAAAGACTGTGGGGGGAGGGTATAGGGAAGGGGCTTGGGAGTTGCTCCAGCCAAACCAGGAGGAGGTCTGCTGAGTTGAAGCCTTTTTCTCTCCAGAGAAGTAAATTCTGCTCTGCACTTCTGAAAGATCTGGAAGTTTGAGGCTTTCTTAGTGATCCAAGCAGGAAAGGGTTCTGCTCCAAAACTCTTGCAGACCCCACTTCAACCGGTGGAAATCTGGCAGAGCCCTCTAGATCTAGAAAGGCTAACTCCTGCATCCTTTTGTTATAGATGTCACAGGTGCAAGTCTTTACATCAAGTCACCAGCCGGTGGCCTAGCTGCCATTTATCTTGTAAGCAGCTGAGGCTCAGGAAGACCAGGTCACTCCTCGCCGAGGTGTCACCTGGGCAAGTGACAAAGCTATCCTAGAGCACCTAGGATCTCAAGCTAGTGCTGCACTGTAACCAAAGCTTTGTTTTTATCACTTTGCTTTTATCACCAGGTTATACAAATCTCCTGCCTAAGAATGACAGTGCATTCTCTAACAAATTTTATCAAATTCTTTATGCCGGACAAGGAATCTGCATTTCTGTTTAGCAGACAGAGTGTAAAGGAAAGTTGTGTTTGTCTCTGAAATAGTCTCACTTAGGACTTGCCCTCCCTCGGAGGCCCCTGGGCACGGTGATGAGCTCTCCCCACCACCTTTCACTGCATATAAACAAGCAAAATCTTGATTTCTCTTTTCTCACGGGAAGGAAAGTTCTGGGTAGTTAAAATGAGGGTAGATCGGCCCAGGCGCTCCTTGGTTAACCAGAAATGCTCCACCTTGGGGGTAATGGGTCCTCCCTCCAGCCCCAGGGCTCTTTCCTGCTCTTTGATTGACTGAGTCCGTCTGGGTTGCGGGTTCCGTTCCCGCTCCAACCCCCCGGGTCCCGCCCCTGCTCCAGCGCAGGGGAATGTAAACCTCGGTAAGCTTGGGTTTCTCCGATTTTGTTTTGTAATCGGCGTTTTATTCTAGGAAATCTCTTCATTATTGCGGTTTAAATTTTATATTCTTAGCATGCTTCCTCTGCTTCGTGGGTTTTACATGAAATGGCTTAGACTAAACGAGTAACCCACCGGGAGACGCGCCCGCACCGGCCCTCTAGATCACCGGCGCAGGGAGCCCTCGGGTCCTCCCGGCCCAGCTCTGCTCGCTCGCTCGCCCCCCTTTCCTGCCGCCAGCCTCTTCCCAATCCAGTCTGAAACTGCCCACGGTATTCGCCCTGCGTTTGGGAACAGCGTTTTTGTGCGCAAAGGCCTCTCCAGGTCCGGTGAGGCGTTTCTGGATGGGGGCATTGGCACCTCCGCGCTGAGACTTAGGGGGTGTCAGCGTGTTTTAGGACCAAGCCAGAGGACCTCGCCCCTGTACGCCACAGAAATGCTTCTATTTCTATTAACATAGAGTAGAAAGCCCGGTTAGGGGGCCAGGAAGGGGCGCTGAGGCTCACGGAGGCCCAGGCTGGATGGGAGAGGCTCCTTGGCAGGAGGGGCACTGGGAATTTTACACCCTTTTCAGAGGCTGTTCTTCCTTGGTCCAGAAACCCCCAGACCTCTGGGTTTGAACGCCAGCCACCCAATTCCAAATGTTTATTTGGAGAGATTCCTTCCGCTCTCAAATGCCTGCACCGGGGCAGGCCTCTTTTTATAGCCACCTTACAGAGACATCCTGATAGTCCTCAGATGTCCTGCGCCTGGCCAGGCGGCATTCTATTGCCCACTTGGCCAGGTCTGAGTTTCTTGGGAAGAGGGTCCAATCTACCAGAGCCTGCTCAGAGACCGAGCCTCTTTCTAGCTCTGCACTTCCCAGTTTTCAAATTCCAGTTGCCTTTGGTGAGACGGCA